AACCAAACTAGCGTGTTCTTCTTTGCACTGACTTCCCCTGTCTGTCAAAAAATCCATAGAAAAGCCACATCTTTGTGTAAGCTGCATGGTTCAAAGCGTGGGAAAAAAGTAACGGCTTATAGTCCGGAAAATACAGTAATCTAAATTTTAAAATGTAGCTTTTCATGTTGAATATTGCTATTGATTCAATGTTACAATACAAATATTTTTTTTCTAAATCTACATTCCCCCAGAAATTTGACTAAAACACATTTGCCCACCTCTCGTAACATGTGTCTAACCTTATCATATAGGCCTCTGGATTATTTCCTTGCAAAATTCTAAATGAGAGGACATTTCTAAACCTATTTAATGCCACCAAAACATTTGGATCCACACCACATTTTTATGGGACTCTTTAAGGTCATGTCTCAGTCCTCTATAAAGTTTCATATTAATTGGCACTGTAAATGCAACAGTGTTGGCAGAGGCACAAACAGTCAGTTTTTGGCACCTCCACTAACTGATCACCAACCTATTAATCAGTTTGGCTTGTCTTCAGCTTCGTCCTTTTTCCCTTCCTTCGTCCCTGGCTGCTTTCCAATGTCATTTCCACCTGCTCATGTGAAACAGATGTCACACCCTCAGCAAAAGACTTTTCCCACAAAACATCCCAATACCTCACTACCAGCCAATTCCAGGTGAACAAGAAGATCAAGACCTGCGTGGGCTAATTATATGGATGTTGCCTTTCTGAGCCAAAAAGCTGACTGCGGCATCTTAAGCAGATGTTGCTTGTGCCACGGCTTTGCCACACTTCCATTTACGAAATGATTTTCTCTCTATCAGTGCCTGATTTTCAGGAAAGTAACTCAATCTGCACTGTCAAAAGATGGGAAATGTTCGATACAAAACACTAAACATTTGCTGCCTACATTCAGTGCACCACTTCAGCCAGAGACCCCAGAGACTTAATGTGATGGACCGTACCTGACTCTCCATCCTTTCACCTCCTAATGCAATATTATGGGCCCATAATTGGAAAGGCTGTGAGTTGTAGCAAAGAATGAGCCAATCAGAATGTCGCACTCTCCACAGGAGTGGAACTGAAAGTGAAAGTGAATTATTTGTCATTGTGACACAGCACACCACTGCACACACAACGAAATGTGACCTCTGCTTTTAACCACCACTGCCCACTGCATGCTGTCTGTGGAGCTTGCTAGAGCTTTCTTACTGGTGGCATCATGGGAGCTGCTGCACAAAACCACAAATAGAAATACACACACAAGCACACACATACACACAGACAAACAAAACAGGCAGTGCAGTTACTCATAACACCAGTTGTCCAGGGAGTACCAAGACAAAATAATGGTGGATCTGGAAAAAAAACTGGTACAGATGCAAGAGCTATCATTAACTACAACAATCCTAGAGTACAGACACCAGAGCTAACATTAGCTACAACAGTCCTGGTAGAGACACAAGAGCTAACGTTAGCTACAACAGCTCTAGAAAAGACATTGGAGCTAACGTTAGCTTCAACAGTCCTAGTAAAGACACCAGAACTAACATTAGCTACAACAATCCTAGAGTATGGACACCAGAGCTAACATTAGCTACAACAGTTCTGGTACAGACACCATGTGTACTTAGAGTAGACCTTCATATATATTTTAAATATATAATTAAAGCACTAATTTAAAACTCACCGCAGCTTAAACCTCACCTTTCATTGAACTACCGGAATGTAAACATGTGACAGAGGCCACGTGGTTGCTGTTCACGTCAGTCTGACGATAGCGCTGTCACACCTTGAAGGGATGGTGAAGTCTGTCAATTTTGAAGCTACTCTTCAATATACAGATGTACTGTCAGCAGCATACAAAGCAAAACCTGTTGTTGTGATGTCTGTAAATATACAAAAAATCTGAAATGTTTTTTCCCCTGTGGAGGTCACTACAGGGGTTACCAGTAGGGATGGCTTTATACAACGTTTTCATGTCAGATACCGATACTACAACTATCTAGCAATACAAGGAATGTCTAATATTAACTTTTTGCCGATATTGTCAAAACACTTAATTTCTGATTCCAATATCAACCGATACCGATATATGCAGCCATTTGCCCCCAGAACTGAGGTAAACTGAGGTCTCAGGACCCTACGTCAAATTCCAGCTAATTTGGCAAAACCCAGACATTGTGTTATTGGATTTTCATTGTCGGTTTTTCTTCCGATAATCCGATCTTACATAATTATGCTAATATCGGGCTGATAATATCGTCCTACCGATATTATCGGACATCCATAACCAATACCAATATCAATCCATTACATTTAAGTGTGTGCTTGTGCTAAAGTTTGTTGGATGACCTTCCTAAAGCAGGTTTTCCAGTTGGTCCTGTAATTATATAATTATATATAATTGGTACTTTTTTGGGGGGCAAATGACTACTGTAAATCATACTGAAGTGGATTCCAGTAAAAGAATAGAACAATTAGAACAACAGTTTGTTTGTTTTTAACAAGACTGCTATGAACAAGAACTGAAGTTAACAGAAAAAGGCACACAGAGAAGTACTTGAAGGTTAAAAGAAAGGTTAAAGTGAAGCAACTAATAAAAATTAGTACAGCAGCTAATTGTAGACCAGAGACATTAGAAACAATAGGAATTGCCCCAAGGATCACGGTAAATAACATCGATTGGCTGTACAATGGTGCAGACAGTGGCCGTACACTTACAGTTAACCAGACAGAACAGTGTTCTGTACAAACATTATGTGTATTGACATAACACTGTGGTTTACTCCAAACCCTGCGAATTGCAATCGGTTTCAATACGAATCAGTCCACATTAGGATACGCTGTAGTGATGGGAAGACCGACTCTTTTTATTGATTCGAATCTTTGACTTTCGAACAGTAAAATGATGAGTCGTGAACGAATCTTGAACTAATCATTTCATTCGTTTTACAGCAGGTGGCGCTTTAGCCCTATTGTGGGC